CCTCTGTCAAGGAAAAAAAGATGGCAATCAGCCTGATCTAACATCATTTATAAGCCCTTTGGGTAGAGAGTATATCACTTATATACAGAGCCAACAACTCTGTAGTTCTTAATTATTCATCTGACTTTATCTGAACATATAATCAGTCTAATATACAGAGGAAGTCTAGCATGCTGAGAAGGTTTATCGGCCCCAAAGCAAAAGAAGTCAGCCCCCTCTAAATTTTGATAGCACAGTGCTCTCTCCCTCCCCCCCTTTCCTTTATACAAGACAGCTTGCTATTGGAAACAGTTTACCATCTTGCTAATGAAACTGCGAAGTGCATTTATGTTCCTAATACCTCACACAGATTCAGTGTGAGATTAAATGTATTCATATGAGTTATGTTTGAGAACTCGTCTGATAAGGTTGCAGATGTGAACATATTATCAAAGCCCACAATTATGCCCCGAAACAAAGCTCTGGGTGCAATCCAAGGTGTACATACATCTTCTTCATGAACATTTTCTTCTGCCTGGACAATGCTGAGGCTGAGTCTCCAGTTCATTTTATGTGTGTTCTGCAACCCTTCACATTTAAGTGAATGGATAAGCCCATGCAGCAGGCAACAGGACCACCTATTGAATCACTTTACTAAGGCTTCTATATATTTTTCAAGAGCTGTGTTTAAGTATTTCACTTTGAGAGTGTTGTCCCATGGTTTTCTCACCATAGATAATGATGCTGAACCAGACCTTTTACATGTGAGGGTTTCACAGGATGCCAATCGAGCAACAAACGCCAAGCCTACGATCTTAAAATTGCATCAAATAACACTGCCAGAAGGAACAAAACAGAATGAAGGACCTACATCTCTAGAACACATCATCGTGGTCAAGTGGTTATGAGACCTGTAGTTAAATTTGTACAAACATATCAAGTTAACATGGCATAAGAACACTTGAGAACTGCTAAAGAAATGAACAATAGATTATAATTCCTGAAAAATTTCCTTGCAATATCTGTGCATGTAGCTATCACTATGAGCATTCTATTGGATTCTGAAACTGACATCTCATCATCTGCCTATGGGTAAGTCATTCAATTTTAATTCAAACTTCAGCAATGAACAGTTCATTTTGTTGGCAGAGATGGCTTGTTTCAGAAATTTTTCCATGAATGAAATAGCTGGAAATCTATACTGATAGAAGTTCTGTGTATATATTTCAGGGGTGTGTGCAGCCTCCCAAAACTGTTCCCAACTGAATCACTCTGGGGTCTCCCCACTTTGGGTGGATCTATATTTCAGGTTCCTGACCTCTCTGTATAAAAGCAGAACTTTGTGATCCCCATACACAATAGATAGAAATTTTAAAACAGCTATGACTATGGTTCCTGTTAGCCAAAGTGGATGAAATTTACAGACATAGGAATCTCCAGAATGGATAACATCAGCCAAATTGCAGAAAAATAGGTTCAGGGGCTCTTTGTTAGGTAAATGGAAGGGGTTCGATTTGTTCTATTCCTTGGGGAGGGGAGAGACTGGGAGTTTACTCTTCCCATCAGTCTCTCTTTCGGGTACTTGTCTCCTCAGATAGGCCTTATTTTCCAAGATGTCTTCTGTGCAGTTCTGAAGAGCTCTGGGTTTTGTTTTGTTTTTCTTAAGCAGAACGATGTAGGATTTTTAAAATAAAAAACCTTAAATGAACCCCCCAGTACTCTGATTTAACAGAACAATTCAGATCTCTTTGATGCTCTGCAGCCATCATTTTGAATGGCCTCCCTTCTTGCAAAGTCCATGGACTGAACAGACATTAAGAGATAGGAAATACAGAGCTATAAGGTACAGACACAAAAAAAGTGACAGAAGACTTTATGGGGCCCTGATGTGACTTAGGGGGTTTATTTGCATTATGATTCAACCTATGAGGGAAAAGAGACCTTGAATCATGTCCCTCCCTCCCTCCCAAATAGAATTACATATAGTTGAATATATATCATAATATTTTCTGATATTTATTGCCTGGAAATTATGATTGATATGAAGGAAAGGTCTTCCTACACATTGCACACAAGGAGAATAAGATATGTTTTTGTATATCTATATATACATAATTTTGTATAAAATCTTGGCTGTCGGATAATGCTCAGAGCACTTTACATAATACAATAAAATGCAGCTAGCAATTCAGGTACATACATAATGTAACAAAATACAATAAAATTGCATTGAAACGTTCAGATGTATTGTGCAATTCCCATTCTCAGCTCCAAGGGAACAGATAATGTTCCTGAACCCAGCTGAATTCCATGGTAGACAACTACTTACTCATTGCTTATCATAGTTCTAGTCACAGTTATTCATTTCATACCATAGTTTCATTGGGCCATGCTGGTTGGAGCTGATGGAAGCCAGAGTCCAAGAATACCTGGAGGGTCACAGATTGCCCATCTCTGCCATAGATGGATAGATGCTAATGATGCTAAAAGTCTGCCCATACCAAGAGCTTTAAATATCCTCAGGTTAGTCAGACTTTCATGGAAGAAGGAAACAGAAATGTCTTTTGTTACCCCCACCACACACAACACATGGAGAAGGAAGCAGGACCACACCCACCAGCACCACCACAACCAATGAAAACTGATATTGTACATAAAAGACTACAGGTGTGCACAGGTAACTTTTTTTAAAAAAAAATTGCTTACCAAATGTATTTATTGAGGGTCTCAGAAGGGACTCATAGCAGAGGATTTACACAGAGGTAAACAACATAAAACTCTCAGCAGTATCTAAATAAGAATATTACATAAATGATACAATTTACATATCATAAATTAATAAAACAGAGCACTCTCCTTCCAAAGTTCTGTCTTTCAGGTTGTGGCTTTCTGGCTTTATGCTGGTTGGAGGTAGAATGGACACATCTTGTAAAACTTCAGCTCCACAACAGTTCTCTCAAATGGATTGGCACTCAGGAACTGAAACAAACAGCCAAACTAGGAATTTTTAGTTCTGGGCAAATTCACAAGACATTTTAAAACTTTAATGAAACCTTACTCCCCCGCCCCATGGTTTTACTGAACGTAGGTTTTTTTTTGTTTTGTTTTGTCATTTCATTTTGTTTTTGAAAAGATGCCTTGAGTTGCTTGCAGTGAGAGAAGGTGTCTAATGAATTTAATAAATAATGTTCTTATTGATTCAGGGCCTTACGGAAAGGAGACAACAAGCATCATGCAAACTGTTCTGAGGTAATGAGCTAGTTGCCCATTCCCTGCCTCAACTCTCCTACTGAGCATGTGCTTCCTTCCTAAATTAATATGAAAAAGTAGGTTATACATAGGTATTGTATACATAATCTAGACCTTGCAAAAATAAATGCATGTGCAGCTTTTCTTTCCCCAACAGGCTCTGTTTGCAAGACCCAATCAATGCACAGAGGGCAGGAACAGTCAGCACAATAACACATTGGGGTATCCCTGGAGAAAGACTCATTCTAACTTTCCTCCCTCCCTTGCAACCTGCATTGCCTCCTTACAAAGGGTTGCAGTCCTACCTCCCAAAAGTAGCACAGGATTGGGCGACCTTGCTCTGAATTATTCCTATGAGTCATTTTTTCTAGGGCCAGAGATATTGAGAGGGCTCTAGCCCTGTAGGAAAACACATTATTTTAAAGAGTAGAACAGAACACTAACTAGGGAACCAAGAGAAGATTTCATACAAATCTTCATATTAAGATTAGTACCTAAATGTAAGGAGGAATTGTTTTGGAAGAGAGTGACATAACAAAATCCCAATTTCTCTTGCTAATGGGCCTTCAGATGATTTCAGTGACCCAGGCATATCTCCTCAGACAAACAAGGAAGTGTGTGGCTGAAGTTTTCCCCAGTATTAAAGCCATTAAATGTACTAAAGCCAATAAATGTAGGTTGTGTAAGAACTGGTACACTCCTGGTAGGATTTTGGGACAGGGCTCTGCTTAACAGAATGAGCAGAAGGGCTATCCAACACAGCAGGCCTGCATTACCAAATTTAGAAGTATGTGAAGTAATATACATTACCATCTAAAGAGCCACATATAAGTCAATTTGCAGTGCCCCCATGAAGTCCAGAGTATAAAATTACCGAAGGTGAGATGGATATATCCTATTGATTAAAATGAAATTGACGCTGTTTAGCTTTCTTTGGATCTTATTCCAGGAACAACCTTCAGAAGCCCTGACCATGATTGACAAATGGCAAAGCATACTGTACAGTACATAACAGGTCTCACTTATTTTCATCCACGGCTATCTCAAAAGGCTGGAACATCATTGCGTTGGGACAATATGTATGTAGCTCAAGCTGCAATGTGATCAGCTTTAAGGTACGTGTCTCTTGTGTTATAGTGATTTCTTTCATGTTGCAATTACAAAGGGCCATGCTCTTTTAGATCTGTGAGTTGTTGGTAATGTATTTTAAACCCATTGACCCAGCTCCAGCCATTTGATGGGCAAAATCTGGATTCCTCATTGGAAAAAAGCTCATTAGGGACACAGCGTCTGTTGTGACTTAGCTCATTTACTCCATGGGCAACATAAAATTTGACCTGGTTAACTTCAAGTTCCCCCACTGAGATCAATTAATGTTAAGCATGTACTTTAGTGCTTTGCTGAGTTGAAGCTTACCTATTTGACAATATTTGGACAACATTTTATACCTGTGTCAACTTCCTGCACTGAATGAGTAGTGAGGTGATTGAGATGGTTTTGACTGAAATTGCAGAGAAAAGGTAATGTGCTTCTAACTAATGGCCTGGCTCTGCAGGTTCTAATCTAAACTTCTTCCCTCCAGAAAACACTTTTCACTTCAGTGTTACTGCTAGGGAATGTGTGAGCATCCTTGCATGCTGCAGAGTATTTTAGGATTTATTAGACTTCAGTTCACATGTGGCATTGGCCAAGACTCGTAGGCCTCAGTGTTGATTCCTGTAATCTGGGAGCTTAGCCTACAATACATCCACTATGCCATAGTAACTATGGAGGAAAGGGCCAGTTCAGTGGTGGTAGAATGTATGCTTTACATGCAGAAAGACTTGGGTTCAATCCCTTGCGTTTTCAGGTAGGGCAAGGAAAAACTTATTTCGGAAAGAGCCGAGGATGCAATCTTTCTCTGAGTACAAACTTCCTTTGACACATAAGCTTCTCCTGTTGTAGTTTTGACTGCTTGGATGGTACAGCTGATTTTAAAAATCTTCTCCTTCACTTGGCCACTCCCCCACTTGGTCATCCTCTCAGTCAGCTAGTTCTCCACCTGGTCATCCCTTTGGCTGGCTTCAATGTTGCAGAAAAGTCTGAGCTAAATAAACAAATGGCCTGGCTCAATATAAGGCATCTTCTGTATTTGTATGTCTTTGCACATTGAAGAAGACTGTTATTGGTCGGCAAGGGGTCTTGTAGACAACCTCGTTGTCCATTATTGACCTTCTCATTCAAGATAGAATCATAGAGTTATAGAGTTGGAAGGGAACAAGCTAGTCCAAGCTCCTGCTATGCAGGAATCTCAATTAAAGCATCCATGACGGATGGTCACCCAACCTCATTTTAAAAACCTCCACAACCTCCCGAGTCTGTTCCACTGTCAAACAGATCTTACTGTCAGAAAGGTCTTCCTGATGGTCAGTCAGAAACTACTTTCTTGTAACTTGAAGTCCTGCCCTTCAGAGCAGGAGAAAACAAACTTGCTCTATCTTCCATGTGACAGCACTTAAGATATTTGAAGATAGCTATCATATCTCCTCTTCCAGGCTAAACATACCCAGCTCCTTCAACTGTTCCTCATAAGCCTTGGTTTCCAGATCCTTGATCATATTGGTCGCCTTCTTCTGCACACATTTCAGCTTGTCAATATCCTTCTTAAATTGTGGAACCTAGAACTAGATACAGTGTTTGAAGTGTAGTCTGACCCTGGCAGAATATAGTGGTAAGCTCCTGGTAAGCTTCCAAGCAAATCCAGAAATCCCAAGAACATTTTGAAAACCAGTAGCTTTGGTGGGGATGGTTGACTAAGTCAGGCAGTTGCCCAACCTGCTTCTAGCCCCCGGTAAAAAAACCCAAAAAAACCCCACAGCTTTCTCTCTCCTATTTATGAGACATTATGAAGCACCAGGACTAATTGCAGAATTTGGTTCATTTATAGCAGCGAAAAGAAAAGACAAAAAAAGGTAACAATGGATACAAAATAATTGTCACAGGGTGTGCCTGAGTTTCCATGCGGGATGCAAGCAGAACAAAAGTGGCAGCTGTGCTCTCTGACAGAAGATAATTTAAAAACAAAAATACCCAATTTGATGAATGCCAAGGATTGAATCCAGCTGTAGCAGGCATTTTTAGGGAGAAGCGGGTCAGTCAGAAGCCTGCATTTTGCTGTCTAATTTCGTGGTCTGGAATTTACAACTCGGGAGGCAGAGAAGATCCAACATACTAGACTACTTTCTCTGCAACAGCAACCAACTGTGGCTCTGTCTAGAATCAAGATGAATTTGTAAATCTTTACCTCTGTGTGAACAAATCTTAACACTTGAAGTATGAAATGCTGTTCCGGTTGACCCAGTCTAAAAATGAAATAATATAGAATGATAGAAGACACACCAAAAAAATATAAAATGGTCAAAAGCTGGAGCAACTTTGTATGACGAAATGCTTTTAGTTTGAAGAAATGGTAACAAAGGGAGGATTACAGAGGTTGACAGAGCAATCCAGCCCCCTTCCTTACGCTGGGCCAGAGGTGTGTGTGTGTGTGGATGGAGTGTTGGTGTTCCCTCTCTCAATTATGCTGACTGAGCTGGCCTCCCACCAGCTGCTAAAACTGTGGGTGGGAGGCATGTTGGCAGGTTCTTTACTGGTCTAGCCCAGCAGAAAGCCCTGAGACGGGACATTCCAATGGCAGGGAGGGGAAGGGATGGATCATGTGCTTGTCTCACTGCTGTTGTACAATGGCATAGGGCATGATTTGGACCCAATTGCTGCTCTAGCCTAGAGTTGGCGCTGGAATTGGATCTGATCATCTAGTTCACTCACTTTCCACTGTGGCTGCCATGTACCCTTGTGTGGCAGATGTGGCAGTGGCTCCACCATTCTGTAAAGCTCCTCTGGCAGGAGGTGAAGGTTTGGATTTTGCCCTTAGAGACAAATACAGAGTGTAGGGGGAGGGGTCAGATATAATATACATAATCCTGGAACCAATGGTCGTCCAATATAGTACAGGATAGACCAAAAGGAAGTGCTTCTTTGTACAGCACATAATAACCTTGTAAAATGCTTTATAATATGATGTGGGATTGACCACTAGTTTCTAAACATGAACCATTTTATTGGGAATCAGAACAGATCTATCAGAATTTATTAGCCATGGCAGATAAATGCAACATTTATACTGCGAGGTGGTATATGTTCTGCTACATGATGTCAGAAGTAAAGAGTAGGGGGATGCATAGCAAACTTATGCACTGCATACATGCTTGCCAGAAGGCTTGGTTGACCATTGTTGTAGACAATTCTGAAGTAGCTGAACTCTTGGAGTGATCCAACAAAGCAGTTTGTATGTTCACAACTAGTGATATTTATAGTCCACAGTAGACCTCTACAGCATTCTCTTTTAAAGAGTTGGAGGATAAGTGCAGATCAGCAATATATATGGCTACCATGTTGGTCAGAGGATAGAGGATAATTTGTGCCCCTGTGTGAGTATTTAGACCATTAAGCACAATCCTATGACTTCTTACACCACTGAAGCAAATCATAAAATTGGAATATTAAACTTCAGACAAAGCCCATATGTCCAGTGATTCATCTTTGAGGTTAGCTGAGATATTGGGCTTTAGTGGCATTCGGCAATGAAATATTGCTCCTTTGAAATTTCCTTAATTTGTTCTTCAGTGAATAATTGCTCCATGAATTACAGACTTGCCACTGAAATTCCTACAAACTTGTTTTCAACAAATCCACAAATGAGTCACACTTATTGGAATGAATATTATAAATTCTCATAATAATTCTTACAATTATTTAACCATTTCCAACCATAAAATAACAATCTGCCCTTGTGATAGTGTAACCCATTTGCATCTAAACCATGTTTCTTCTCATACTGTTGTGAGCTAATATGTAAGTCATACTCAGATTATACCCATTAAGTTAGTGGAATGAAGTTCATTTATTTCAGTGGCTCTATTCTAACTATTATTGGGTATCAGCCTTGAGCTCTACAGCAGTATGACCACAAACAAAACACAAAGATGCAATATTATCAATGCATGCACATTTTGAACATCAGCTTTGGGCTATTCTAACATCTTTACATTTTCCTAGGAGGGCAGGTATTACAGTTTCAGAGTGGGCAAAAAAACGAAAAGGAATCATTTTACCTCCCCTTGCATTTTGTAGGCAACTGGTCTGAGCATTGCAGACATGAGAAAAATACCCCTGGATAAGAATCCTGACAAAGAGGTCCAGGGGATTTTGTGGTAGGCAAGTTTGGTGTAGGGAAGAACTACAAGGGATTTGCTTTCTGGATAAAGGCATTCCCTCTGTTTACAAGCTTGACCTAACAGCCACAATGGAGCTCTCTCAGTGGAGACACCCTTTTCCCATCATCCCACCTAGGCATTATGGTATGCTTAGAGCCATTACTTTTGCTTTCAGCAGAATTTGTACCCAGAGTGTATAATTCCCAGAGTGGTCTAACCAGTGTTTTTTTCTGGGGGGACGCAGGGGTACACATACCCCTAAACATTTTGTGAATATAACAGGAGAAGAAACTACATTTTAAAAAAAAGTTTCTTCTCTAGCACGGTGAATCGTCAGTTCCGTTGCTACCCCCAATGGCAGCCTCATTTCCAGTCAGTGTTTCCTGAGTCTCAGACGGAAGCGAGCGTTTAATGTGTGAAGCAGTGTGGAATGTGGATGGGATGAAAGTCGGGAAGATGTTAGTGCACACAACCTCACGCCAGTGTGGAAGTTACTGTGAGCTGTCAGCTGTGTAATATGAAGTAATGCATGTTCTTTGTACTTTTGTCCATTTACTGCATTTATTTTTCCCAATTTGAACTATAAAATGGTGATTTTCTTGAGTCAAAATGAGAGTACCCCTAAACAGTTTTTTTTTGGGGGGGGGGAGAACTGGGTCTAACAATCCATCCATTTTCCCAGAGAACTCTGGGAATTGTGGCTCTCTTAGGACACTACAGGTCTTATAACAACTCTAGACACCTTTCACAAACTACTACTCCCAGGATTCTTTGGGGGAAGCCATGAGCATTTAAAGTGGTATTATGCAGCATTAAATGTATAGAGCAGATGGGTTCCAAGCTGCCAGCCCAGAAGGGAAAAAGCTATCTCCAGGGATGCTTCCTGCTTCTTTGATTTGTGCCCTATTACACTTTTGAAAATGTGAAGTGCAGCTGCATAGATGTCCCTTAAACTCAGTGATGTGGTATGACAACAGTTTGCCAAATACAATTGCAAATCATGGGCATGGGCACAATCCCCTGGATGTTGCTGAAAACAAATGCTCAATGAGTGTATGTGGTGGGAGCTCTGCTTGGAGTATTTTGCTGTATATAAGCTTTTTTTAATTAATAAACAAATGGGATTATGACTACTCTTGTTTGTTTTGATGAAGCTCCAAGCACTGCCTGCCAATGTGTCACCAGGAGCAAGTCTGAAGCAGCCACAGCCAGGTTTTCTGAAAGTGAAGACTGGACTTTTTAATGGTACTGAATGAAAGAGGTCATCAGCAAAGCATGGGACAATGGCCAGCAGTCCCAGAATGTCTTACTAGAGTCCGATTAAGTAATTCAAATAAGGTATCATTGTAATAGCCTTTTAATGTATTGAACTGCTGGCAGTGTTTCTTAAATGGCAATTAATGAGACTGTATCAAAACTGATTGACCATAAATTCAAGCTTTCCCTTTCCTTGAGAGAAGAGCTGGCAACTGAATTAGCTTGTGTGTGTGTTCACACTTCTGTGGGAATGCAGAGTATCTGATTATGGCAATATTTATGCTCCAGTTGAAAGTTTCTGCTAATCTGGGTTTAACCATTCCTATTGTAACTGGTTCCTAATGATGTGTGTTTTATGTGCAGATGACTGTTCAAAGGATGGTAGATGATAATACAGAGTGCAGAGAGCAGTGCTGTACAAAGAATACCCACTAGTTTGCAAACATAATGTATAATTAGGCCCTATTAACTTTTTTCCCCAATTAATCATTTTAGAGGAGAAAGTTTGGTCTTTGTTGAGCAACAAGCAGTCTCTTTGACTGAGCAATGAAAGTGCCTGCTGTGGCACAGTGGGGGCATTGGTGATCAATAGCAAAATTCCTACCAAATGTAATTATCCAGGAGTAGAAGTGGTTTCAGAACCACCCTTCAGAGCTCGTTAAAAGGATCCATTTAGCTTTAGATGAAGCTCCAAGTTTCAGTCTTCTTTTTCAACTGAATTTGGCTCAGGGCTTTCCTTAGGGCTGATGCTGTTTGTTTGTTTTGTTCGTTTGTTTTAAAAAAATACTTTGCTCCCATATTTGTTCATCATAGTAAGAGAAGGTCCTGCTTGATCAAGACACTAGTCCATCTACTCCAGCATCTAGTCCAAACACATGCACAATAGTACTGTCTCCTGGGATTTCCACCAGCTGGTATTCAGAAGCATAATTTACTCACAGTGAATGAGTAGACACATACATAAAGGAAAGAAAAAGAAGAATTTGACACAAGCAGGACAGGGGACCTATTTTGTTATGATAAAAAGGTAGGTATAGCCTCCAGAAGGTGGCTATCACATTTTCCAGGGCCTTAGATAAGCAAAGGGTTTTAACAGTGCTACCATTTGCATAGACAACCGAGTGCACCTCCAGGAATAAAGTAAAACTGGTGGGTTAGTAGCACTGAAGTGACATCCTCAGGACACAAGCCTAGGCAGTGTGTGGAGCTCCTGGGCTGCCCATATGGCAAACCCCCCCCCCCAGCCTCACAGTCTTAGGGGCTCCACTCCATATTTTTGTAGGGCTTACGCCTAAGCCTTTTCTTCTCCTGAATATATCCCCCAAGACAGCAGGAGTTTAGGATCAGAGTTTTCCTTCTTCTACCTTCCCAGGTTGATGGGCCCCACCTGCCCCTCACTTACCTGAACAGCATGTACAGAATCCACCTTCTTGACCATTGGACCAATTAATACATAGGAGCCTTTCTTTGCATGCAGGGAAGTCCCAAACTCACTAACACTAGATATCCCCTTTTAGGCCTAAAAGTTCTTCTGTGGCTTGAATTCTATTCCAAGCTGGTGAAAATGCTTGTCCTCCTTCCCTGCCTCTCTCACACTTGTCTGCTTCACAAACAACAGCCCTCTTTCCCACTCACCCACTTACCCTGCTTGCTGCTCTGGTGCTGATAGCAGAGGCATAATAATAATAATAATAAATTTTATTTATATTTTATTTATATCCCGCCGAAGCTGGGCTCAGGGCGGCTAACAACAATCAAAATAATCCAGCATTCTAAAAACATTCATTATAAAATTAATTAACATGAAATTGATGGCAACCATTAAGCAAAATTCTATGCAGATTGCCAGAGGAGGGGGTCAGGCTGCGCCCTGACCAAAGGCCTGGTGGAACAGCTCTGTCTTGCAGGCCCTGCAGAAAGATGTCAGGTCCCGCAGGGCCCTAGTCTCTTGTGACAGAGCGTTCCACCAGATTGGAGCCACGGCCGAGAAAGCCCTGGCTCTAGTTGAGGCCAGCTTAACCTCTCTGTGGCCTGGGATCTTCAGGATGTTTTTATTTGCAGACCGTAAATTTCTCTGTGGGACATACCAGGAGAGGCGGTCCCGTAGGTACGAGGGTCCTAGGCCTTATAGGGCTTTAAAGGTTAAAACCAGCACCTTAAACCTGATCCTGTACTCCACCGGGAGCCAGTGCAGCTGGTATAGTACCAGATGAATATGATCTCACAGCGAAGACCCCATAAGGAGTCTCACCGCGGCATTCTGCACCCGCTGGAGTTTCTGGGTCAGTCTCAAGGGCAGCCCCACGTAGAGCGAGTTACAATAATCCAATCTGGAGGTGACCATCGCGTGGATCACAGTGGGTAGGTCAGGGCGAGAGAGATAAGGAACCAACTGCTTAGCTTGGCGGAGATGAAAAAATTCCGCCTTTGTTAAAGCTGTAATCTGCGCCTCCATAGAGAGGGAGGTATCAAAGATTACACCCAAACTCTTAACGGACGATGCTGGCACTAATTGCACCCCCGCAAGAGATGGGAGTTGCCCCCTCAATCCCATATCGCCCCATACCAGCCAGAGGACCTCTGTCTTCGAAGGATTTAACTTCAACCGGCTCCCACGTAACCATCCAGCCACAGCTTCCAGACATCTGGTCAGTGTGTCTGGGGCCGAGTCAGGATGGCCATCCATCAACAGATAGAGTTGGGTGTCATCGGCATACTGATGGCAACCCAGCCCAAAACTCCGGACAAGCTGGGCACGGGGCGCATAAAGATGTTAAAAGCATCGGAGAGAGAATTGCACCCTGAGGCACTCCACACACCAAGGAGTGGCGCGATGACAATTCCCCCCCAAGCGCCACCCTCTGTCCCCGACCAGAGAGAAACGAGCGCAGCCATTGAAGGACTGTGCCCTGGATCCCCACATCGGCAAGGCGGTGGTCCAGGAGTTCGTGATCGACCATGTCGAAGGCTGCTGACAGGTCTAGAAGAATCAGCAGCCCCGACCCGCCTCGATCCAGCTGCCTGCGGAGATCATCTGTTAGGGCGACCAGAGCCGTCTCGGTCCCATGACCAGCGCGGAAGTCGGACTGGAATGGATCAAGAGCCGATGTTTCATCCAGAAACCTACCAAGCTGTTCAGCAACCGCTCTCTCAATCACCTTACCCAGGAATGGAAGATTCGAAACCGGGCGGTAATTGGATAGATCTAAGGGATCTAGTGATGTTTTCTTTAAGAGCGGACGCACCACTGCCTCCTTCAGTTCCCCTGGGAATATCCCGGTGCCAAGGGACAAATTGATGATATCACCCAGGGGGGCCCGCACCTCATCTGGACACGCTCTAATCAGCCAAGACGGGCACGGGTCAAGAGGACAGGTGGTGGGCTTTCCAGCTCGGAGGAGTCTGTCCACATCGGCTGGGGATATCCGGTCAAAGTGGTCCAATACTGGACCCGAGGACAGTCGAGGGGCCTCCAGTTCCTTTATTGTATCCAAATTGGCAGGGAGGTCATGGCGGAGCAACAGGACCTTCTCCGCAAAAAAGCTCGCAAATGCCTCACAGCTGTGTGTCAAATTGTTATTTAAATTTGGCTGTCCTTCAAGGGACGTTAAAGACCTAATTATACTAAATAATTGCGCCGGGTGAGAGCTAGCAGAGGCAATGGAGGCCAAGAAGTAGGACTTCTTAGCGGCCTTCACTGCCATCTCGTAGGTTTTCATAAAAACCCTATAAGATGTTCTTGAGGCTCCGTCACGGGCACCCCGCCATACTCGCTCTAGCCGTCTGAGATCCCGCTTCATTTTCCGAAGCTCCTCGGTAAACCAGGGAGCCCTATTTCTGTGGGGTCGCAGAGGGCGCCTAGGTGCGATCTCATTGATGGCAGCTAGGAGCTGGATATTCCAGCCCTCAACAAGCTCAGTCAATGAGTCGCCAGGGGGAGCAAGGTCCCGCAAGGCCTGACGGAATCTATCAGGGTCCATCAGCCTCTGCGGGCGAGCCCAAATTGGCTCGCCACCTAAGCAAGGTGGGGGTGGAAAATCAATCCTGGCTTTCAGAGCGTAGTGATCAGACCATGGCACCTTCATCGAAGGAGACATGATCACATCTATACCGACGCCAAAGATCAAATCCAGCGTGTGGCCTGCTTGATGTGTGGGGCCCGAAACAAACTGGGAGAGCCCTAGTGTCGCCATGGAAGACACCAGGTCCAGAGCCTGTGAGGAGGGAGTTGCATCAGCATGGATGCAGAAGTCCCCCAATACCAATAGGTTAGGGAACTCCAAGGCCCAGCCGGCCACCACCTCCAGCAGGCCTGACAGGGTGGCTGCTGGTGCGCTAGGTGGCCGGTACACCAGCCAGACAGCCAAGCTCACCTCGGAGCCCCACACTAGGCCAACACATTCAATGCTGGGGATCGATGGCGATGGTAGAGCCCTGAAAGAACAATCTTCCCGGATTAATAATGCCACCCCTCCCCCCGGCCCACAGTCTGCGACTGGTGGAGGACGGAGAAACCCGGGGGCGCCATCTCTCGTAAGGTAACAGTTTCCCCTTCGCACACCCAGGTCTCCGTCACACAAGCCAGGTCAACCCCCTGTGAGGTGAAGAAATCTCGCAGGGTGGCGGTTTTGTTGCCTATAGACCTGGCATTGCACAACACCAGTGACGGAGGTGAGTAATCCTTGCTCACCCTACCTTCGTCTCTCGGGATGGGGCACAGATTGGAAAGGATACGAGCATATCCGTATCTCGATCCCCTTCGCCTATGACATCTGCCCCCACCGCCATACCTCCCTCGCCCCACTACGGTAGCAATCCCAAGCCTCAAACCAACCTCCATTTACAAAATAGAAAAACAAATCAAACCAAAAACAATTGTACCAAACAAAACAAATCCCCACCCCACTCAGTATCCAACCCCAAACCAAAATAAAACGGAACAAAATAAAAATACATCAATAAAAACCACCGTTCACAGTGGTACAACAAAGTAGAAAGTAAAAACCCCTTTAAAACCCTTTAAAATATATAAAAACATTTTTAACATTTGCTGCAGCAACACCAGTGTCGTTCAAACTGTAGCAGTGGCGAGTGTGGGCCCCGCCCCCAAGGCCTGGTGGAGTGGGCCTACAGGAGGGGGCGGCCTTCCTCAACACCCACGGTGCAGCAGCAGCAGCGGTGTCCCAGTGCCTCAATGAGGCCTTTTAAGCTGTGGCGGTGGTGAGTCAGTCTGGGCCCCGCCCCCTGGGCCAGGTGGAATTAGCCTGAGGAGGGAGCGGCCTTCTCCAACTCACAGTGCAGCAGCAGCAGCGGTCCACACGAGAGTGTGGGGGTGAAGGGTTTGGAGCCCTAATGACTTGGTGAACCCATCTGTAACATCCTACCAAATGCTGAAGAGAATTTCCCATCTAGTCATACCTGATGTGGGAGTGATGACCATTTTCTACCTTATAACTTACCATGATGTGTGTGCAATCCTTGTTAAGACCAGCCATCTATAACAGGCTTCCTCAACCTCAGCCCTCCAGATGTTTTTGGCCTACAACTCCCATGATCCATAGCTAGCAGGACCAGTGATAAGGGATGCTGGGAATTGTAGTCTCAAAACATCTGGAGGGCTGAGGTTGAGGAAGCCTGATCTTTAACATCCTGCCAAGGTCTTAAGATAATTTGATCAAACTGAGGAATCAGAGGCCTGATAAAATTCTCCTTACCATTTGGCAACCTCATTCTTTATTATGATTGTTATACTTGACCAGCTTTATTATTTAGCATGTTAACACTTAGTAAATGGTCACTGGTAATCATACAAAGTCACACTATATACTCAGAGAACTGTGGTGAGCCAGAAACGATTAATTTTTATTTTTATATAACACTTTACATAGTTGGGCAAATCTCTGCCCAACAGATCTATGGTTAAATTTAGACAAGGGAGGACAGAAGACAAAAGAGACAGGAAAAATGGATAAGTAAGGGATGGATGAGATCAGAAGTAGTTATACACAACAAGGATTCAGGAGTATTTTGCTTGGCCTTCATTTTAAAGCAATCTGAACTAATTTACAGTTCCCTACTTATTTGTAGATCAGAGTATAGTTAACAATCAAATGGTTCTGATTGCAGTTTTCGTACAAAAATGTGTCTGAAACTATATATTATCTGGGGGAAAAGCAGTATGAAATGTTATGGAGAAATGCCTGCAAAAGCATATAAAACTACATAGTTCAGGGGTAAATGAATAGAATATGCATGCAAAGTATATCTTCTAAAGGAAAGTGCATACACAAATGCATGCGATTTAAGTGTGTGTGTGTTTTAAAGAGATTGAATGGATTTGTGATGCATGGGAAACTGACTAGGGCAAATAACTAGGCTGATCCATTCATCCCTAATCACACATACTTCAGCTATTTTGAGCTACATAATACTGCAGGCTAACTAAGAATCATACCCTGAACTTGCTGGGTCCTCTTCTAGCCTGACATCATGACATATCTAAGTGATTGGCAGATGTCTTAAATGCCCCCTGCTCCTGTGCGATGTGACAAAATCCCATAACATTAAATGCATTCTGGGGAGCAGCCATCAGTTCTCCCAAGTTGTCTGCTGAGAGCTTTATTGTTTCTTCCACCTGCCCCTAGAATGATTCATTACATCCTCTGAAGAAAGTGAATAGAATTCCAGCACTGGGACAAGTTGCCTATGGCTGATGTAAGGCTAGAGTGGATCGCTGCTTCCATTACAGTATAATGAATGTCTTTATATGTACATTTTGTTAATAATGAGTCAAGAAAGCATCCCTGGGCCATTCTGGAAACTATAGGCCAAAGAAAAGTCAGGAACAACAGCACGTAGCTGCTTGTTTTTCAGCTACTTCTTTTTAAAAAAGCAAAACAAAAGCAAATAATTGAAGCAGTGAAATAAAAACAGACCAACTGGGACATTCTCAAAGCATATTTTAGCAAGGTACAGCAGTATGTGATATTAAGTTACTTTCTTTAAGCTAAAAAAGAGGGGGAGCATTGCAACACATCACAGTGATGTGCATTGTTGATTTTTAGTCATTTGTTATCAGTGGCGTAGCTAGATGATTTCAGATTTGATGTCCTTATGCACACACATACCTCTTTAGATGGTGGCGTGCATCATTTCACTCACGTAAACATGTGTTAAGCCAGCCCTGCTGCGTTGGGGGACCCCAGGCTTTAGCCCCAAAGTCCTGCCCTGACAGCACTACCGTCCATCACTTAGAAAGAATGTAGAAGAACGGGAAGGGGTGGATATACAGTGCTCTCTTTTCTGGCTTCTTCAGCAGAGTCTTAAAAATAACACACTTGCTGAGCACCCTGATATCTATTCCCTCTTTTCCAGAAAGAAAAATTCCACTGCAAGAATAAATGAGACTAGTATATCACACCTTGCGCTGAGGGAATTCTTAAAGGTTAGTGGGGCAGAAATCACCACTGGCTGGAAGCGGTGGAAAAGAAACTATTTAATGGGACAAAAGTTTGCTGAAAGATGGCAGATCATAGCAGGATCACTGGGATTTTTTTAACGGGACCAAATAAGCTGCTTCTAGGCTCATTTTACAGCTATTCTCTCCTGCTGTGCTAATGAGGTGAAAACTGACCTGCCTGCTTAAGTTCTGGCTCCATACTTTGTAATGGTGTGACATGCTGAATAGCTAGCTGCCTTCATGCACTGTGTTTCCGATTAGATCCAGCCCTGAAATATAGAACAGATGTTCTTGCAGCCTCCAAAAGAGCCTATGTGAAATTTCAGAGCGTTGTTTTGCTTCCTTACTCCACTGCATCACAGCAGACCTCTCATTGGAGCTGCAACACATCCATTCCTTTAATTGCTGTTAGAAGTTGGGTAGGAGACACCTGGTTAACAGTGTGTCATTCAGTAGGCAATGCCTGCAGATTGCGCACGGTTCACTCCAATCAATTTAAGATACGGACAAGGCACAAAGGAGGCTAATTTAGTTTTTTCTCCTGCTCCATTGTCTCTTCCCCTGAATGTGACTTTATTTTCCTTTAATCTTTGTGGTTACTGAGAAAAAGTTGTCAATATTGAGGAACAACCTTAAGGAAAGCCAAATTGGAAGGTGACCACAAAGGATATAAATAATCCAGGTTGTTCCAGTTCAGTGGGAATTTTGAATCTGGCTTCTCCCTTAGGCAAGTAGGCAGGCAGGCAGGCAAACAAACAAACCATATGAAAGCCACACGGGCCACTTATCAACCAAGTGTGACATTCTGCACATGTCATCTACACCAGCTGTGGGGAGTCACAAGTGGGAGAACATTCAGGTCCTATTTGTAGGTTTCTCATAGGCATTTCTCCCACTGTGAGAACAGGATGGAGAGGGGTTTTCCCCCCAGATAATCACCTGTAGGGAAGGACTGCTCATCTCTTCATTGTGCATGCTCAGATAATGCAGGAGTGCCACCTGACCATCCCTAGAAAACAGAAATACAGACACTGCAAGTCATGAGACTGAGTGTGCAGTCTAAATAAATAACCACATTTAAAACGAGATGTGTGTCAGACCATTACAGGCTATCAACTGCTAAAGTTTTGATGAATGAAAATATACAAGAAGCCTTTCAAAACTTGAGTGATATTTTTGTGTCAGTGTGTTCAGTTCCTCCTGTCTTTGGTGAATGGCACTAGATGCATTACAGAACATATGTTCAATTAGGGACACACGTGTGAGAGTTGCATATTGGTCTGGAATAAGAAATCACTGAAAGGCAGGCTTAAGGTGTACCTCAACACTGATAGCCTTTAGTCAGGGAGATGGATTAAAGTTTTGCTGCAAGGCAAATGCACTCAAAAAGGAAGGAAAATGGGGAGGGGGGAATTAGCATCTCTACATGACTGAGAAGACAAGCTTTCCTAAATTGCAGTTTTTATTTGCTTCTGTTTGTCACTGGTACAGCTTACTGGTGTTTTAATGTGGCTAATAGAAATGCTTTTGATCAAAGTATGGGTGTTTGTGTTTTTTTGTTTTTTGTTTAAAAAAGTGTTAAAAACCAGGCATTTGGTGCTTCAAGAGAATTGGCTGAAATTCCTGTGCAAGGGAGAATGCATCCTTACAACTCCCTCAACCAGGAAGTGTACTGATGGGCACATGGATTCACCATTATGATGTGTCTCTGGTAAATGGGCATTTAATTGTGACACATTCCTCTTGACTTATTTAAATGCACAAGGGCCCTTTGATTCCTTCACTTTCCAGAGTGAAAACCAGGCTCCTCCTCACTTTCTGATAGCCTCTAAACTAGACTGCTTCAATTGCAGTGAAACCAAGGGGGCTTCAGTGGTGCCTAGATTTGTGCTGGAAGATCATTTTCTCCACACCAGTAAATATTATTTTTTTAAGTTCTAACATTATTTTTTTTAAAAAAACACAACATTTTTGATGATAGTTCCTTGCAAACAATTCTTTAAAACTATTTTAGATCTTGCTCAATACAGTCCAGTGGGAGGATCCCGCTGTGCATTATAATGCAGGTTGGCAGAGTCTTGCTGTAGATCTTAATGTTCTATTTATATTGCTGCAGACTAGTTCTTCCTTGATATGGCAGTGCACCCCTGGGTTTCAAGATGATTCTGAGAGCAATGCTAAGTGTGCACTTGGTGTGGTGTTGAGGTACTGCCGTAGGCAGCCTTTCCCCTTTTTATACTTGAGCGGAAGGAGAGGGAGGCTGCAAGGTTTTAAGCAAATGACAACCATGTGCAGAAGCACACAGAGTCTCTCCAAACACACATCCGTTTAGCTCAGTCCACACTTTTAAGCAAACTGACCAAGTTCACACCTCCTGGACCAATACACAGAACAGAATATAATAGTCCTTCAGAGGTTTTGTGAGATTGTTCTTGGCTTGAAAAGCAGAACAAAATGTGTAACAAAACCGTATATTTTAGGATAAAATACATTTATAAATATGTGCATGGAGGTACACTATTATTTTAATTTAAATGGGGATTTTAATACTCGAAACAAAAGTAATTCACAGAATAATGTGGAAATGGGATGCATGTGAAATTGGCATGCAACAGAAATAGACTCATCTGTCGATTTGCAAGGTTATACCGCCCCATTTCCTCCCTTTAGGTCGGAAATCATGTAAGGGTTTCAGGTAAATATAGGTGTGAGTAGCAGAAAGCCTTCAGAATCTGTAACAGAGGGTGAATCTGAGATGAATATTTCATCGAAAAGATTGATTTGTAAGTGCCTTCAGCTACAGAGTGCGTACGCCAAATGGCACCTGCATTTGACAGCTCTTGAGAGAGTTGTGTGATCTAATGAATGAAGAGTAGAGTAGGTCTTGCATTTTGTTCTCTCCTTTACCCCATGTCTACTGTGCGGTCATTTGTTATTTTGCACTTCCTCCTGGCCTTTACCTTTTTTGTCTCTTTCAACAGTGCACTTTCTCTGTTCTACACAATTCCTTGATCCCAGTTGGAACCTCTCGGTATTTCCAAAATACAAATAATAACAGGCATATCTCCATTGCTGCAGAGTAGTCATAAAGGGTTTTTTATATATATCTATACCAAACAGTTACAATGTGCCCGCATCCATATACATGGGTACCATTTGTACTTAAAAACCTGCTGCTGCTAATAAACAGCAAAGCTGACAATAACACTGAATCTTTCTGAAAGGCTAGCAGGTAGGATCCCTGTCAGAATGAGAGCTTGGCATGAAAGAAACATGAAGCGTCATTCGCACTAACTGTACTTGTTTAAACTTGCAGGGTACATGTTGAGAGGTGGCTGGATGGATTCTTTTTTATTCTCCTTAATGAGAAGTTGTCTAGTCAACATCATTTCACCAATCAGAGGCAAGGCTAGTAGACCGGGACCAGAAGACAGTTAAGGTTGAAAAGCTTAAGGAAGGCATTCGGAGATAAAAAAGAAGATTATATTTAGAAATGTTGATTACTATATGAGAGAGAATAAATGTCATCTGAAAGAACAATAGGTTAGCCAACTTTCTTTTGCAAGTGTTCTGCAAGTCAAGGATGGTGTGTGTGATGATACTACAGCACCGTACATTATAAAGCAACTGCAGCTCCACTGCCTTAAGGTGGGTATCCCTCTCATCTGATGTGAGAAGGAACATCAACACAGCTCTGGAGAAGCTGGGAAGAATATAGACCATAACTAGGAATGGTCTCACCTACCAGCTTCAGCTTCAGTTTCTCATTCCCCACCCCCCAATCTTAAGTCCAGTTAGTTTTATGAATATATGTATTCTATTCATTTTTTGTACACATGACTTAACTGGAGGGGTAGTACCTCTGGAGGGGTAATCTGTCTGGAGGGGGACACATCACTTCTGGGGTACTTTGTTCACCTTAGCTCCTTACCCTGCACTCAGCTCTCGCCTGTGGCTCCTAGAAGCTGTCAGCCTGTGACAGTTGCCGCACCCCAGGAACGGCTTTGACTGGCTGGTTAAACCAAGTTAAGAGTAGCTGATGGGTCTGAAACCTTCAGTTAGCTGGGCACTTTCCCTGCATGTGAAGACAGGCTCCAGCAGATTGAGCAGACAAGACCAGTGGTAGATCCAATGGTCAAGAAGGTGGATTCTGCACATGCTGTAGAGGGAAGCGAGAGGCAGATGCAGTTCATCAATGTGGGAAGGTAGCCCACCTAGGAGAAGGAAAACTCTCATCCTAAACCTCTGCAGCATTGTGGAATATCTTTGGGAGAAGAAAAGGCTACATATATCCCAAATGCAGTCCCTAAGATGGTTGGATGTCACCCTGCATGCCTCCTTCCGGCAGCTCCTTCAGCCAAACTTGTGCCAAATGTATTGTTCTGCTTTCAGTGAGGCTGAGAGGAGGTTCTTGTTATACGGGCAGCCCAGGACCTCCATACACACTGCCTAGAGGCTTACACCCTGAGGAGGTCACTTCAGTGTTGTGAACACAGCAGTTTGACTTCACCCCCAAAGGCACACTCCATTGTATTTCAAGACAGAAGGATGCCAACAACAACAACAACAACAACAACAACAACAACAACAACAACATGTGCTGGGTTTTACTGGTGACTGACCAGTAGTTATTACACATCATTGGGTCTATGTGCATATACTCACACATATTTTTCACCTTTGGGCAATGTGAAAAGTTTTGTGTGAACAGTAAATAACAAGAAACCAGACCTTAGTTTATTATGAAGGTAGTTAACTTTTATGCCATCTTTAAATACCATTAGTCTAGCTCATCCCATAAAGCCAGCTCAGATATTCAGATGCAAATGAGGGAAGAGAGCATATGTATTCAGGATTTTAATGTTAATAGATTAACATTAAATAAAATGTTTCAGCATCAAATCATCATGTCAGGTTACTATGGCAACACAGACATAAACATATGTACAACCAAGTTGAGCTTATACATCAATTAGTGCTTTAGACACATAATTTGCATTGAGCATTGTACCCAAAAAGCCAGTTGAAAAATGCTATTTATTTATAAGAATCACAGTTTCATTCTCAGACATAAGTACGCTAATGTGAATCAAATCCTCAGATAGTTCGTTCTTGTTTTCTTCCACTAATTTAACTTCTTTTTTATTATTAGAAAATCCAGCCTTTAAAACACTTTAAGCAGCACAGTGGGTGGCTGTCAGTTTATCTAACAGGATTATGAACTGTGAATGTGTTGTGCAGAGGAGGTTGGAGCTGGATTTGAGAAGGCAATGTGATTTATCATCAATATTTTTATAGAAACAATAGGAGAGCAACTCAATATGTATAATGCATTCTCACCTGTGATTTATTCTCCCTTTCCTGCAACCTCGTGCTTTCATATCATATGAGCAGAAAGAAGAAGAGAAAAAGGGAGAGGACAATATAATTTGTGGAGAAAGATGGAGAAAAGGATATGTCCAAAAAGCATAACAGTTCAAAAAGAAGTGGCAAATTATCTCATATATTCCCAGTTCATCTCTCTTCTCTCTCTCTCCCTTTTTAAACACTACCACTAGCTCATTTGCTTCAAGGCTAAATAAGGCCTCTATCCATTTATCCATGCTATGGTACTGTGTGTGTGTGTGTGTGTGTGTGTGTGTGTGTGGTGAATCACTTTAATCTGAGGCATAGGAGCCAACTTCTAGGGACCAGGGTCCCTTCTGCCTCCCAATAAAATATTTGAGTTGGCTGGGTCCCCCCCCCCCAAGTTGATGGGCATTGCCATTCAAATGGCATGTATGTGTGCTATGTCATGTGATCAATTATGTGAGGTGGGGCTTACCTGCCCCCCTATTTTATTCAAGTTGGCACCCCTGATCTGAGGTAGCTACCACTTAAAAGAGGGGTGGGGAACCTTTTTCAGCCTGAAGGCCACATTTCCTTCTGGACAACATTCGGGGGACCACAAACCAGCGGTGGGAGGGCCAGAGGCAAAAGTGGGGAAAACAACGAATGTCACCTTTGTACAGCAGACTTGTTTCTGCACATTCACACAGCCCTATCTGTTCTCCACCCAGGCAAGCAAGAGTTGAAGGAACCAAGCAAAAAGGCTCCAAGATGGTGTGTAGCAGAGTCATTAGGGGGTGTGGTAAACTCCTGTGTGCAAGACATAAAGGCCTGGCAGGGGAGTACACTTAGCCACCATGTCTGAGGTTTCCCATACTTGATTTGAAACAAGAACAACAACAGCCTATAACGTTTGACACTGTGATTCTTTATTACGACTACCAGGGAATGTTTAGGCATGCACACCAATGGCACATAGTTACACATACAATTAATGCTTGTTTCAAATGATGAAATATACTTGTTCCTATTAATACATAATCCCTGCAGAAGTAGGTGCTATAACCTAAGTGCCATTTGGCAGAAATGATTGGAACTGCTGTGCCAAAAGAAGAAGAAAAGGCAGGGGTGAGACATGTTAGATCTTCAGTAGCAGGCATATCGCCAAAGAGGGAGGGTTTTCCATCATGTACCTGACAACTCTATCATAAGAAAAGTAGCTCACATCTTCCACAAGTGACAAGTACTAGGCCTCGGTGTGTTGTTATGCACTGTGCATTGATAAGGGGATGATAAGTAGAAACTGGAAGTCTCCTCAGGCCAGCAGGACTACACATCCCCTCATCCACCTGAGCTCCCATGTCTTCATCGAAATGCATATCATCCTTTTGCTGCCTCCAAGTCCTTCCAGTGTAACTGTCAAACACTCCAGTAGATTTGATGAGGGAGGAAGAACGCTGCTCTCATCTGACTTACATGACAGTAACAAAACTCACCCTACTTGCCTGGAGAACATGAAAATCCAGGCTGCACGCTGAGCAAATGACAGGAGAACAGGGCTGTGTCTGTGTACTCCAGAGTCATGAGATTTTTCTTCTTTTCTGAAAGTTGAAAGCTAAATTAAATTCAGCAACGCTCGCTTCAAAACAACCCACATTGTTTTGTGAGAGGCTTAAACTTCAGTGCTTATCTGAAGAACTTGCCATGAACTTTGCTAGGGATGTTGTTGTCGCTACAGAGAAAAATTTGCCATCCCAAAACAAATAGAAGATTAGGCACAGGAATGATGGTTTCAATAACAACAACCCCCATGCAAATGTATGCATTCCTTTTTATAAAGGGCATTTAAGGATGGGCTTAATCACCAAGAGATAATAAAAACAACATTGTTCAGAGTCTGTGGAAAGGTTGGAAAGGCAGACTATTAGCAAAATCGACTGAACAATAAAGAATTTAAATGTGGGGAAAATTAAATCTTAATCATAATTGATCCAAAGATGGGTAAAAGTCTTTTCAGAGGAGGGATGTTTCAAAAACATAAGTTTAGCTCCATCTCTGGGATTTTTTTTTTTTAGAAAAGCAAGCTTTTTGCACTTCAGACTGGACCAAACGGCAGTCATACAAAAAAAAAATATGATGTCACGAGCAATTAACTCTCATGAGGTAAATCTCTTTAATTCTGTAAACTCCAAATTTGGCTATGGTACAGTTCGGGAACAGTGATGAAGTTAAGCAGTTTTGGACCCTGGACTAAATGGTCTTACACCATTCCCCTTTAGCTGGCAGTATGTATTATTTCACATTGCCAGCGAAAGGTATTTGAAGATGTGTACATGCACACGAAAGCTTATACCCAGAACAAACTTAGTTGGTCTCTAAGGTGCTACTGGACAATTTTTTATTTATTTCGACTGCGTCAGACCAACACGGCCACCTACATGAATGTATTATTTCACTTACTTCAAAATGTAGCAAGCCAGGTGTGCTGTCCCTGGGGGGCTCTTCTGCTCATTCTGCTGAGTGGGGTCCTTAACCGCTGCCCCAAAGTCAAGCACCACTATTGGGGAATATACTGACCTAAACTGAACTTCTTTTAATATCACATATTCAATATCAGGACATAAGGGCTTTCATTTTAGTTTAGTCTGACTTCCTGACACACTGCTAGCTTATGCATGTCTATCTGGAAGTCCCATTAAGTTCTGTAAGCCTAACTCCCTGGTAAATGCATATAGGATTGCAGCCTTGCAGTGCAATCCTAGCCATGCCTACTCAGAAGTAAGTCTTATTGATTTCAGTGGAGCTTACTCCCAGGCAAGTAGGGTTAGGATTGCAGACTTAGTTGTCAACTATGTATGTGCAGGGTCCTAAATCATGCAGGGAGCTCCCCTCTTCAAACCTTCGGGCAGGCAACAGAGATGTGAGACAAGAGTGGGGATCCTAAAACATGCTCCTACTCTTCCCTTATGCAAGGGATAGGAAGCCTGAATAGCACTTTAGTTGGGCACACTGAAAGATATTCAACTAAGTTTTACTCAGGATTGAAGTTAATGAACCTTAGTCGTGTGCATTAATTTACATGGGTCAACTCTGATAAAAACCTCATTGAATACCACACATTAATTTCATTTT